CTTGTCATCCATGCTGTGGCGGCTCACATACAAAATAAAGAAAGATTGGCACAGATGTTAGCTCAGGGGGAATCTTTCTCAGCCAAAAAAAAAAAAAAAATCATAATTTCAAGAGAAATTAAGTTACAGCAGAATATATACACAGTATGATTCTAATTATATAAGTTCCAAAATCAGGCAAAACTAACCAATATACTGTTTAGGGGATATATATATATGTAATAAAACCATAAAGAAAAGCAAAGGTGATTAACAGAAAATTCTGAAACAGCATTTACTCAGGGACAACAATAGAGTGGATTGGATAAGGGAGGGACCACCTGGCACTTCCGAGGTCCTGGTTTTTTGTTATTTTCCACGAGTGGTGGGTACACGGATGTTCATTTTATAATTATTATTTAACCATATCTATCCATTATATGTACTTTTAAATATATATTTCACAGTAAAAAAGGAAAAAAAGGAGAAAGAAAAGCAAAGCAAAGGGAATGATTTGCTCAGCTTACAAAGGGTGGCCCCATTGGGTGGCATTTCCAAAAGGTTAATAAATCGACTATGTAAGGCATGGTTCTCATTTATTTATTTTTTTGCTTGAGGAAGATTCACCCTGAGCTAACATCTATGCCCATCTTCTTCTATTTTGTATGTGGGTCACTGCCACACCATGGCTGATGAGTGGTGTAGGTCTGCGCCCGGGATCCCAACCCATGAACCTGGGCTGCCGAAGCGGAGTGCACCAGACTTAACCACTAGGCAGTGGGGCCTCTCAGTCTTTTTATAGACATTAACTAATTGAGCCTCATGCCAATCCTGTGAAGAGATCCCCATTTTACAGATGAGGAAATTAGGCTATGGAGGGGAAGAAAATTGCTCAAGATCACACAGCCACTTAGTGTCAGGGCCCAGAGCTGAGAGGCTGTCTGACTCCATCGCCGCCGTCTGGACCACTCTGCCATAAGGCTCTGGCTGTGCTCTTGGCGATCAGGATTTATTTATTTATTTTTAGTATAGCTGTGGTTTCAGTTGACTCCTTGCTTTCTGCCTTTATAAAATAAAAGGGCATCGGGCTTTGCTTGCAGTTAGAGTAGATAAGCTGTGACCTTCAGAGAAAGTCGCCGAATGCTCCCTGCCTTATGTAGTTAGTTCTACTTTGCTCGGGTTTATTTTTCTTTCACATTCAGACACCACCAATGGCTCTAGTAAAAGTCAGGCTGAGTTGTTAGTTGCTCTTCTGGGCCAGGACCTCTTGGTTGACTCCATTTGCTGTTCAAAGTTTCAACTTGCTCAAAGATTCTGTTCTGGCTACAGGGAAAATAGAACCAGAAAACCCTCCCAGGGCAATGGTGGTAGAGTCATAGTTGTCCCAGAAGGAATGTGGCTGACCAAAGGGCCGTCTCTGCTGTCCTTTCATTACCTGAGGCTGTCCTTTCCCCCTGCTAAGCAGGCATAGCAGGTGAATTACTGAGACACTACCATCAGTTGATGGCCCCCCAAAATCAGGAGCCCAGGTCCACTTCCAACTCTATTTCTGATTTGCTATGCAATTTTTGGGTGGGTCTCAACTTGTCTTGACCTCCCCTTATTTACTTATAAAATGAAGGATGAGTAATTCCTGTCCTTCCTGGATGCTTTGTAATTCTGAGCATCAAGCTGGATGAGCCGGGTGTAACCTTCTCTGTACCTGCACCTGAACACCTGTGCACACAGTAGGGCAGACATAATGCCCAGGATGAATGTATGGGGATTAGGTCTGCCCTATTGTGTCGCCAACTCCAGATGCGCCCCTACAGAGCCAGCAGTCCTGATCCTGATGTGTTTCTCTGGGGAACTCAGTGTCCTGCTCTCCATGACAACCACATCATACCTTCTCCAGTCTTTTCAAAATTCTCCCCTACTCTTCCTCATTCTCAACAAATAAACCTCCCTTCCTACTTTACAAAAAAGTGGAATCAGCTTGGAATTCCCTAATCCGCCTAACACCAAAATTAACCTCCCGGAGTCTGCACCCAACCTACCCTTCTTTCCCCACCCAAACAGAAGGAGCCAGGTGCCCCAGCAATGCTTTGATTCCATCCTTGCCTGCCTTTATTGTTCCCTCCACTGAAGGTAACATATCTTTTTTTCCTCTGCCTTTAAGATTTTTCTCTTTGTCTTTCAACAGTTTTATTATGATGTGCCTACATGTAGTTTTATTTTAAAATATTTTTCCTCTGGAATCTGTGCTTAAGTGACTTAACGAAAGTTATACCATTTAGGACTTCCACCTGAATCTTCTCACTGCAATTCTATTGCTCCTTCAGGCACAAGGCAGCACAGCCCATCATGCCATAATATTTACAGAGAGAACTTTTAAAATCAGAGGACTTCAAGTGCTTTCTTGAGCCACTTCATAAATATTTATTGAGGGTTTACCATGGGCCAGGCACTGAGCTGGGTGCTGGAGAGACAACAAGGGCAGACACATGCAGGGTCCCTGCCCTCACGAGTTTCCAGTTGAATGGAAGAGATGGATGTTATCTTCCTTCCGAGAGAATTTACTTTTGCTTCCGGCAGATGACTAGAGTGGAGGCAAATAGTCTTCACCCGTCTGGGATTGGGCTCATTCAAAGCTGTGTTTCAGGCTTTGTGAGGACTGGTCCATTTCTGGTTCATCTACATTTCCAGTTATGGTGGAAAAGCTTAGAAATGGACCAGTCTTTGTGAGGACTGGTCCATTTCCAGTTGATCTTACTCCTAGGAAGAAAGCCTTTGAGGGGTCCCAACTGGAAGTCTGAAGGTTTACCAAGCCCCTTCTCTCTGGTGGGGTTGAACTCCAACTTTTTCTCTCTGGTAAGATTAAACTTCTGAGGCATTTTTAAGCTTCCTAGCCTCTCAGGGATAGTTTCTACTTCAGCAAACACCTTGAGGGGAAAAGCAGCATCTAGTGGCACTCTCATTTCAGTGCATTTCCCTTTTCTCTGAGAACTTAGCTCCTCAAGTTCTGCTTGCCTTCATAGCCTTGCCTTCAAGCCCTGTCAGGTTGCTAAAAACCTTGCTCGGCTTCTGAGTCTCATAGCTGTTGAATTTAGCTTGACTTCTGTCTTCTAGCCCTGTGCTGCTTACATATGGACACATACATCAAAGGGAAACGCTGCTCGGAACGTCAGGCTCACCCAACCTCACTGTGCTTCTCTTTTTAGTTTCTTGGACCCTTGTGTCCTGGCTGTCTTGGTAGCTCTATAATGCCTTGAAACAGTTGTTTGTTCTTTTTTTTTTTTTTAATTTTTTTTTTTTCCCCAAAGCCCCAGTAGATAGTTCTATGTCATAGTTGCACATCCTTCCAGCCGCTGTATGTGGGACGCGGCCTCAGCATGGCCGGAGAAGCGGTGTGTCAGTGCGCGCCTGGGATCCGAACCCGGGCCGCCAGCAGCGGAGCACGTGCACCTAACTGCTAAGCCACAGGGCCGGCCCAGTTGTTTGTTCTTTAATTCAATTTTCTATTTGTTCTTGGCAGAAGAGTTGGTGTAATACAATTTAGTCTGAAGTCCCATGATGAATGTCAGTTTAATTATGAGAACTTTTAGCACCTCTGTTCATCTACCTTGTTCTTCCCTCAAGCAGCTCACACCCTTTGCCAAGCTTCCCCAAGCATTATCTTCTATCTTTGCTCTTTTGTAACTCACTTATTCACACTCTCTCACCACTCTATGCCTTTTTGAGGGTGAAAAATTTTTAAGTTGTTTTCCATTCTAACAGTTGCGTGGGTGTTGACAGATGACATTTTTCAGAGCCAGTGACTGGGTGTGGTGGAGTTGGTTGTGTTCTTGGCGTTGGTTAATTCAGGTTCGGGTCCCTCTGATGAGTTGTTGGTGTTTTGTTTTTCTCTCTCTCTAGTGAGAGAGAGCCCCAGGCTTTCTTCTTAGTTTCTTTTCAGGATGTTTTGCAGAGTGGAGGAAGTCATTGGGAATTAGAAGTGGAAATCACTTAGGGTTCCCTGTTTCTGTAGAGTCAGCACTGAGATTGGTTGCATGCAAATGGGGGTAAATATTTAAGCAAATTTAATAGTGATAAGTTGGTTTGTTTTGTGTTTTAGGCACAGGCATTCCATGCTACTTATCTACGTCACCTAAGCTTACAGTGCCCTATCTTACGATGGTGGTTTTGTTTTTCATTTTAGGTACCCATAAAAATTTAACCACAATTTATTGTTGTCTTTGTGTATTTTACCTACTTTATTCCATTTACTCCTCACCATAACCCTATGAGGCCAGTGTGTTTTGTTTTTGTTTTTGTTTTGTGAGGAAGATCAGCCCTGAGCTAACATCCGATGCCAATCCTCCTCTTTTTGCTGAAGAAGATTGGCCCTGGGCTAACATCTGTGCCCATCTTGCTCTAGTTTATATGGGATGCCGCCACAGCATGGCTTGACAAGCGGTGTATCAGTGCACACCCGGGATCCAAACCTGTGAACCCCAGGCCGCTGAAAGAGAGCCCACAAACTTAACCACTAAGCCACCAGGCTGGCCTCCGATGAGGCCAGTGTTAGTTCTTCCCTTTAGACTTTGACACAGCTAATGAGTAGCAGAACCAGCATTTGAATCCAGCTTTATCTGATTGCCAATCACGGACACCTAGCCCCCATACACTGCTGCTTTCCACATGGCTATTCCTGCTGTGGATATTATCTGCCCTCTGAGAGTTATCTTTGCAGAATTGCACAAGAGATAGTCCACTTCATCTCGAGTAATTTGTGTTAAAGCATGAGATTTTGTAACCTTTATTGCTAAGCAAAGATCATATCTGGGCAAGACAGGACTTTCTGAGGATTTCTCCATCTCCTTAGGGCAGAATATGTGGCAACTTATTTTGGCAAAGTACAAGCTGGTGCATTATTAACTTAACGTGAGTCAGGATGCATGCTCTGTGTGAATTTTTTATTTATTTGATATCTTAAAACCAGAACTGCAAAAAAATTGATTAACTATGAAGTAATTTATTATATCTGTCATTCTTGATTTCAGGGAAGTTTAATTAGCATTAACAGCACTTGTACAGAGATGGGCAATTTTGATAACGCTAATGTCACTGGAGAAATAGAATTTGCCATTCGTTATTGCTTCAAGACCCATTCTTTAGAAATATGCATCAAGGCCTGTAAGAACCTTGCCTATGGAGAGGAAAAGAAGAAAAAGTGCAATCCGTAAGTTTCTTTTTCTAAGTTTTGACATAAGATGATAGACATATTGATTCTAAAGTTTATATGGAAAAGTACAAGTCCAAGAATAACCAAGACAATTGTGAAAAAGAACAAAAATAAAAAGACTTACATCAAGAATTATTATAAAGCTATAGTAATTCAAACAATGTGTTATAGATGCAAGGATAGACAAGTAGGTCAACAGAGCAGAATCAAAGTCCAGATACAGACCTTAGCATATATGGGAACTTATATCATCAAGAGGCTGTTAATAATCAAAGTGGAAAAGATGAACTTCAATAAATGGTGTTGGAAAATTTGACTTTCCTGTACGAAAAATAAAATTAAAATCCTGTGTCACACAATCCATAAGGAGATTAACATTTTTTTCCCAATTGATAGATATGAAGTGGTATCACATCATAATCTTAGCATGCATTTCCTGATTACTAACAAAAATATATGTGTTAGCTACTTAGGGTTCCCTTTCTGTGAACTTCCTTTCATATGTTTTGCCCATTTTTCTATTGGATTGTCATTTTCTAATTTATTTACAGGAGTTTGTTTTTTTTAAATCCATTTTGAATACAGCTCTTCATTGGTTATATGTATTTTACACATCTTCTCCTGGCTTATGTTTGTTTTCTGACATTGTTTATGATGACTTTTCTTGTAGAGAACTTGATAATGTCAAACTTATTAACTTTTTCCTTTAGAATGTCTGCTTTTTGAGTCTATAGAAGAACTCCACCTGAAGGGTATAAATACATTCTTCTCTATTTTCTTCTATTAGAGTTTTTTCACACTTAGATCCTTTCACATTAAAACTGGAATTGATTTTCTGTGTATGGTTTAAGAAAAAGACCACATTTTTGCCTTTTTTCCCCCCACACGGAAAACTTTTAGCACACTGTGTTAATTACCAGCTGGGGAAAAAGAATGAATTGTTGATCCAATCAGACTTTCCTCTTCTCTGAAACCTTCAGTAGCTCCTCAATGCCAGACAAGTTAAGTGCATTGCTATAGCACTTGTGGTCCTCTGTAACAGGATCACTCCTATCTTTCTAGTCTTAACTTCTGTTGCCCTACCTGTGCTATATGCTCCAGAGAAAATGGAATAGCTATTGTTCAAAACTTTTTCCAAATACAGTTATGTGTCGCTTAACAGCAGGTATACATTCTGAGAAACGCGTCGTTAGGCGATTTTGTCATGTACAAACATCACAGATTGTACTTACACAAACCTACATGGTGCAGCCTACTACACATCTAGGCTCGATGGTACTAATCTTATGGGACCACGGTCATATATGGGGTCCATCATTGACCAAAACATTGTTATGCAGCACATGACTATATGAGCCTTTTCTCATATTTGAGACTACTTTCCCTACACTATTCCCATAAATAGAAATCCCAATCCTGTCCATTCTTCAGACTCTTCTCCAATCCCATCAGATACATTTATTCAAGCCTTGACCTTCCAAGCACATTGGGCGTCTCCTATAATTCTCAATAGGATGTAGTGATGTGGTTGAGAGTGTGGACATATGAGCCCTGGCTCCACCATTTACACATTTTGACCTTGGGCAAGTTACTCAACTTTTTCATATCTCAGTTTCCTAACAGTAATATGGGACTAATAATAGCACCTGCTTCAAAGGACTGCTGTAGTGCTTCCCTGAAATAGCCCATATTAAGCCTTCAGAACAATGTCTAGAACATCATAAACATTCAACAAATATTATTCTTAAGCAAGTGAGGTGGGAAGTGCGCAGAGAAGTAGGCCTCAAAATCCATATAGGGATCTTGTTGAGGCTTTGGTCAAATACTAAGCTGCTCGTATTCAGGACAAGATTTCATGAGGTCTGTCAGAGGATAGCTACCAGGGGGTGGTGAGTTAAACAAAAAATCTGGGAGTTACGTGGTGCTGGAAAAGATTGGAGTTCTGACCAGCAAGAGTGGAGACTTTGCTGGACACCTGGGGCATTCAGTGGACACTAGAAAAGACATACCTTAGTAGTAAGGCTTCCCTAGTCCCAGGGTAAGGGCTACACCAACCCACCCTAACTAGGCAAAATCAAGCCTTGATAGGATCAAACTAAGTTGTCAGGAAGTGAAATGCCTACTAGAACAAAACTCAACACTTTTCAAAGGAAAAACGTGGTCCAAAGAGGATTCTGGAAGATGGCAGATTTGGAAGCATCAGGAATCCATCTCCCCATGTAGACAACAATTGCACTGGCAGACTCCGTCTGCTGTAACTATTTTGGAATTCTGGAGTCTTTTGAAGGCTTGCAACCTCCAGGGGAAGGCTTGGATGGTAAATTGGGGTTAATATCAGTCAATTTCAGCTCTTAGCAGAGTAGCAGCTGCCCATCCCCCACCCCAACCTTTTGGCAGGCACCTGTGCATGTGTTCCTGGAGCAGCTTACACACGGCTTGTAGGCACCAGGGAGCAAAAAGGATCTTGTCCTCCGAATACAAGGGGTCTCTTCTCTGATTGCTGCTTCTGATCACAGAGGTACAAAGAGGCAGGCAGCCATTGCTGTTGCATCTCCCCACATTGTTGCAATCCTCTCCCACTCTGGCTGAAATGATTTTCAACGGATTTAAAGGGCCAGTGCCCTCATTTGTCGCCCCTCTTCGTTTTTCTCTTTTTTCCTTCTTGGGAGCCAGATACTAAAGACTAGGACATTAAAAAGTAACTGCATATACAAGGAAAATTAGAAAGTGACCATGCATGCCCAGGTACAGGCTCAGACAAGATCTGAGAAGACCTTAATTTACACCTCAGGCTGATCCTTGGCATAGAGACAGTCTGCAATAATAAATTTAAAAAAAATACAATAAACAAAAACAATAACAAAAAACAACAAACCCTGGGGAAGGAAGAGAATCTGATTTCCAGAGTTAACACATTATTAGACGCAAATGTCCAGTGTTCAACAAAAAATCACAAAGCAGATAAAGAAACAGGAAAGTCTGCCCATTCAAAGGGAAAAATAAATCAACAGATTTGTCCCTTAAAAAGATCTAGTGGTGGGGCCGGCCTGGTGGCACAAGCCGTTAAGTGCGCACACTCTGCTGTGGCGGCCCGGGGTTCGCCGGTTTGGATCCCGGGTGCGCACTGACACACTGCTTGTCAAGCCATGCTGTGGCAGTGTCCCATATAAAGTGGAGGAAGATGGACATGGATGCTAGCCCACGGCCAGTCTTCCTCAGCAAAAAGAGGAGGATTGGCAGATGTTAGCTCAGGGCTGATCTTCCTCGCAAAAAAAAAAAAGATCCAGTGGCAGGTTTACTAGACAAAGGCTTTAAAACAACTGTCTTAAAGATGCTCAAAGAACTAGAGGAAGATGTGGAGAAAGTCAAGAAAATGATGTATGAACAAAATGGAAATATCAACAAAGAGATATAAAACCCAAGAGAAACCAAAAAGAAATTCTGGAGCTGAAAACTGCAATAATTGAAATGAAAAATTCACTAGAGGGATTCAAAGGCAGATATGAGCAGGTGGAATAAAGAATCAGTGAACTTGAAGACACAACAATGGAAATTATTGAGCCTGAGGAACAGAAAGAAAAAAGATTGAAGAAGAGTGAACAGAACCTCAGAGACCTGTGGGACACCATCAAGTGGACCAACATATGCATTGTGGGAGTCCCAGAAGGAGAAGAGGAAGAGCAAGGAGCTGACAGAATAGTAGCTGAAAACTTTCCAAATTTGGTGAAAGACATGAATATAAACATCAAAGAAGCCCACTAACTCCAAATAAGATGAACTCAAAAAGACCCACATTGAGAGACATTATAAACAAACTTTTGAAAGACAAAGACAAAGAGAGAGTCTTGAAAGCAGTAAGAAATAAGTGAATTGTCACATACAAGGGATCCTCGATAAGATTATCCGATTTCTCATCAGAATCTTTAGAGGCCAGAAGGCAGTGGGTCCATGTATTCAGAGTGCTAAAAGAAAAAAACTGTCAGTTAAGAATACTACATCCAGCAAAACTGTTCTTCAAAACTGAAGGAGAAATTAAGATGTCTTCAAATAAACAAAAGCTGGGGGAGTTTGTCAGCAATAGACCTGTCCCTGCAAGAAATGCTCAAGGGAGTCCTGCAGGGTGAAGTGAAAGGATACTAGACAGTAACTCAAAGATGTATGAAGAAATAAAGCTCTCTATAAAGGTAAATACACAGGCAATTACAAAAGCTAGTATTATTGTAACAATGGTATGTAATTCCACTTTTTGTTTTCTACGTGATGTCAATGCAAATATCAATAACCAATCTATAGATAAGAAAAATATTTAATGAGCAAGTGTTGAGGACTGGCCTGGAAGTGTTTTCTTCCTCAGAGAAGAAAGCACTCTGGAGAAGCGTGGTTTACACCAGGGTTAGATACTGTCTCAGATCAGAAAACATACATCAAGCGTGACCGGAATACAGTTTTTTCCCCAAAGTCACAAGGAGATGTTTTGCTTCAGTTTAGCACACACACAGCAGGTCAACTTGACCTTGGTTCTCTGGGAAGAAAAGCTTAAGCTTATCTTCAAAGAAGTATTGGTATTGGTGTCCGAGAAAGGGAGACATTCATCCATATCTTTAAAGAGTACATTCTTTGCTTTGGGAAAATGTTTGAAGCAGACATACAATGCATGTGTGGTTGGCCATAAGTCAGGCTACTCTGGGAAAAACAAGTTTTAGGCCGAATCAGATTTAATTTTTTTTTTTTGAGGAAGATCAGCCCTGGGCTAACATCCACGCCAATCCTCCTCTCTTTGCTGAGGAAGACTGGCCCTGAGCTAACATCTATTGCCAATCCTCCTCCTTTTTTTCCCTTTTTCTCCCCAAAGCCCCAGTAGATAGTTGTATGTCATAGTTGCACATCCTTCTAGTTGCTGTATGTGGGACACCGCCTCAGCATGGCCAGACAAGTGGTGCGTTGGTGCGAGCCTGGGATCCAAACCTGGGCCGAGGCCGAATCAGATTTAAGCCAGAGTGTCTTCCCCATGTACCTCAACATGTGAAAACTTCTTATTATTCTTATTATTTTCATCAATAAATTAAGAGACTAATACACCTTAAAAATTAATTAGTCTTTTATTATTATTGTAACTCTGGTTTCCACACTTTGTTTTTGACATAATTTAAGAGACTAATGCATTTAGAAATATATTATTTGTGTTTTTGGTCACCCAGTGTATAAAGATGTAATTTTGTGACATCAGCAATGGAGAGAGGTGAGGATGGAACTGAAAAGGAGCAGAGTGTTTGTATGTTATTGAAGTTAAGAGAGTGTAAATTCAAATTAGAGTGTTATAACTTCAGGATATTAAATGTAATACCCTTGGTAACCACAGAGAAAATAGCTATAGAGCATACACAAAAGGAAATGAGAAAGAAATTTAAACATTTCATCGCAAAAATCAACTTAACACAAAAGAATACATAAATGCAGGAAATGAGAGACACAAAGCTATAAGGTATAGAAACGGGGCCGGCCCCATGGCTTAGCGGTTAAGCGCGTGCGCTCCGCTGCTGGCGGCCTGGGTTTGGATCTCGGGCGCGCACCGACGCACCACTTGTCCAGCCATGCTGAGGCCGCGTCCCACATACAGCAACTAGAAGGATGTGCAGCTATGACATGCAACTATCTACTGGGGCTTTGGGGGAAAAAATAAATAAATAATAAAATAAAATTATAAAAAAAAAAAAAAAGAACAAGTGCTGAAAAAAAAAAAAGATATAGAAACAAATAGCAAGTAATTCCCTTCTTATCAGTAATTATTTTAAATGTAAGTGATTCAGACTCTCCACCCAAAAGACAGAAATTGGCAGAATGGATAAAAACGTAGGATCCAACTATACGCCATCTACGAGAGACCCATTTTAGACCCAAAGACACACATAGAAGATATTCCCTGCGAATAGTAACCAAAAGAGAACAGCAGTGGCTATCCTAGTGTCAGACAAAATAGATTTTAAATCAAAAAAGGTTATAAAAGATAAAGAAGGACATTATATATTAATAAAAGTTTCAATGCAGCAAGAAGATATAACAATGATAAATGTCTATGCACCTAATAACAGACCGTCAAGACATATAAAGCAATTACTGACAGAATTGAAGGGAGAAATGGATAGTTCTACAATAATAGTTGGAGATGTCAATACTCCACTCTCAATCATGGATAGAGCAACCAGATAGAAGATAAGTAAGGAAACAGAGGACTTAACACAATAAACAACTAGGTACATGGGTGTGTATTTTATTATAAAGCTTTAAGCTATATAGGTATGTTTCATATATCCTGTTTTACATATGTGAGATCTTCTAATGATCAACAATTTAAGAGTAAATGAACAGTAAGGAATTGGTGACAGTGAGCCTTGAGTACTTTTCCAAGAAATTTGAATAAAAGGGAAGAAGAGGCCTGAGACTGGGCTCCAGGAGGGACCCAGACCAAGAGAGGGTTACTGTTCTTTTTTTGCTTTGGATTAGTTGAGCCTGTTTCTAACCTGTGGGGATAGGGCTTGGGCAAGTGGGGTCATTGCCATCAATAAAGCTGCCAGAGGAGCCAGGAAGGGCATTCTCCGGACCTGAGTGGAAGAACAGCCTCGAACAGGATTTCAGGGGGTGGGCAGAGTGCAGGTGGAGAGATAGCCTGTCAGGCTTCCTCTGACAGCAGCGGCCTCCACACTCAGTGGAGAGGCCTCCTGCCAGTTCTCAGTGATGAACGCCAGTCCTCAGCAGTCAGGAGGACATTCTTTGAGGCCCCACAAGGGAAAAGCAAAATGTGAGGCATACACTTTCCATTCCCACTGTTTTGTTTTTTTTTTTGCAGGTTGAGGGGAAGTGATAGGTAGAGGGAGGACAAGCTGGCACATGGCCTCTACATCCAGGTAGATTAGAGAATCTGCGACCCATGGAGCCCTGAGGGCCTCTGGGTTCCATGGTCTTCACCAAATGCCAGGTGACGAGTAATGTAGATTCCAGGAGTAGGGCATGAGGAAAGCAGGGGAGCTTCACTCCCCCAGGAACATTCCAGAGGATTATGGCCAAAGACCTTGTAAACCAGAAGCTGCCTAGCCAGCACTATCATTGTTCACTGTCAGTGGTGGCCACTAAGCCCTTTCTATCAACCCCAAATTCAGCAGGAAGCAGGATAAAGAAAATGCTGATGTGTGATTCCCCTCCTGAAGGCTTTGTCTGCCCCCCGCTGAGCTCCCCCCCACCCCCAACTGTCCTGTGTGTGTTTGGCCTCTAGGTACGTTAAAATCTATCTGCTGCCTGACAAATCCTCGCAGGGAAAACGCAAGACTGGAGTCCAAAGGAACACTGTGGACCCAACCTTTCAGGAGACCTTGAAGGTACTTGCTGGACAAACATTCATGTGCTGAGTCCCCCACCCTGGGCTGAGCACAAGGGGCCAGAGTCCAGCGGATGTTTCTTCCAAACCCTTGAGTCAGTTAAATATAAGTGCAGACACCTATACATTTCTGCGGGCTCTGTCAATCAGTGGCAAGTTCGTAGAAAATAAATTTCAGCCTTTGTACAGGAAAAGTGCAGAGTTGGCTGGACTGGAGAATGCTTTTGATTAATGATTTCCAAGAAAATGGTGAAAAAGAACCTGGCTGCCTCTCAATTTCTAAAACAGGTTTGTCCTGTTGAATTTTTATGACTATTGGAGAGGTATTCCAAGCACATTGAACTACTGAGTTACTATCTTTGTAAAGGTGCTCCTTTACTGTAGTATCTGGCAAATCCAGGTTTCTTCTTATTTTATGAAAAAAATAGTCATTTTATGAAAAACATTTTATAGAAGAATTGTTTGGGTTTTCACTTTCTTTGGTGCTAGGAAATATGATTTGTGGTTTAGGGCAGAGATGGGGAGGGACTCCCTCTTGCTAGGATTTAGGGAGGAGAGTCGGACTTGATGTCTGGTGTATGCAGATAGCTAGGGAGAGCAGTCCAGATGTGTGGAGATGTATCCAGTCAAGGCTAGGCAGCCCAAGGATCCCATGTGTCAAGCCTGCGAAGGAGAGAGCTTTGCCTTCCTTGGCAAGTAGGGGTATTTATGAACTCCCAGCCAGGGACGATCGGGGCAGCTGGCACACAGTCTCATTCGTTAAATAATAATAGCCATTGTTTTCTGTGTGCCTGCTGTGGCCAATTGCTCTATATACCCACTGACCTAGGTATTAGAATCCTCATTTACCAATGGGGAAACTGAGGCTTGGAGAGTACTTAGAAGTATAGCTCTAATCTACGATAGACCAACAATTCTTTACAAAATTTATGTTCATTGGAATCCCCAAGGAATATATATATATACTTTTTGTGGTGAGGAAGATTCACTCTGAGCTAACATCTGTGCCAGTCTTCCTCTATTTTGTATATGGGATGCTGCCACAGCATGGCCACTGACGAGTGGTGTAGGTCCATGCCTGGGATCTGAACTCACAAACCCAGGCCAACAAAGCAGGGTGTGCTGGACCTCACCACTATGCCACGGGGCTGGCCTCCCCAAGGGATATGTTTTAAAAAGTAGATTGTGATTCAGCAGGTGTGGGCGGGGCCTGAGATGCTGTTGGTCTGAGACCATTCTAGTAGCAAGTCACTGGAGTTTGGTCTTCAGATGGTTTTGCTCACAGACCTGCTAAAAGAATTTTGAAAAGCTATGTACCTCCTCATACATTTTAAGTGGATATCTAAAATTACTCATCGGACGTTTAATTAAGTATTTTGTGCTAAATAGTGGTGGACAAATATTTCACATTTTATGAAATGAGACAAAGATAAGGATTGACTATGTTGTAGATAAATAATTATACAGTTTGATTTTTAAAGTTTTAACTACCTTTTTAAAAATGTACATAGAATCTCAAAGAAATCACTGAAAATTTTTATCCATTGGTTTTATCCAGGATATTTTGAATATTTTGGTTGTCCTGGAAAACCGTCCAGATAGATTGAAAAGAATCAGTGTCCCAGGGCCGGCCCCGTGGCGTAGTGGTTAAGTGCATGCACTCTGCTGCTGGCGGCCCGGGTTCGGATCCTGGGCGCGCACTGACACACTGCTTGTCAGGCCATGCTGTGGTGGCGTCTCACATAAAGTAGAGGAAGATGGGCATGGATGTTAGCTCAGGGCCAGTCTTCCTCAGCAAAAAGAGGAGGATTGATAACCTGGATGTTAGTTCAGGGCTGATCTTCCTCACAAAAAAAAAAAAAAAAAGAATCAGTGTCCCGACACAGGCTAAGCCTTATCTTCATAGAAATGCGTCTAGGATGGAAAAGGTGGGAAGATGGAGAGGCTGAGCAATCGTTAAGAGATTTGCAGAAACCAGTATTTCCCATTACCCCTTTGCTTAGCACAGGGAGGTTTGTGCAGCCTGGGGCAGGCACCAGCGTAAGATTCGGGCTGTGAGAACTCTCTTCCAGTTTTGAGAAAAGTGCATGTGAAAGTTGAAGATCTAGAAATTGATCCTCCAAGTTTTCTAAGCAGAGCACCCCTTGGGAAGACCTCCTGCCTTCCAGGGGTGCTGGCACCCCACTTGACCACTTTATGGGTCTGATACGAAACAAGGGTTCAATAACTTGTACTTTTGTTCATTATTGAGAAAAGCGAATTAATAGGCTAAGGAGGAGGCTCTCAGTGGCTGAGGTGGGGCTCCCGGCTCCCTTGGAGAGCCTGGCTGTGTCGCCTCGCCTCTGAGAAGGGCGGTGGGTCACCTCACACAGGGCCTTTGGCCTCCAGTCTCCCTCGGGGCAGAAGCCCGCCCTCAGCTGTGGGGAAGGGAGAGGAGGCTTTTTCGTCCTCCAGAGTGTGCTGAGAGCTCCTGGGAGGACGTTACAGGAACAGCTCTGGGGGACCCTGGAGCATCAGCTCAGGTCCAGCACGCCCTCCACATCAGGGCAAATGCCGGCACTAAAAGCTCATGCTTTGCATTTTTTAAAACAGAATTCTTGTTTTCAGTATTTTTGGACACCCTGGCTGGGACAGTTACGGCCAGATGCAAATTCAGATCCCAAGCAGTACAGATCTTGGCGAGATTTCCAGAGCGCCTTGAGTTGAACAAGAACCTTCATCCTTGTCTTGGGGAGAGAACTTGACCGTGGGAGGGAGCTTAGTGGCTGCCCACAGTTTTCCCCAGGCAGAGCGCTAGGCGCTTGCAGAGTTGGGGAGGTTCGGTGCTCGAGAAGGGAGAAACCCCCAGCTCTAAGCAGCGTGGCCCACTCTGCCCACACCAGGACGCTGGCTGCAGTCTGCTGGAGGGAGGCCCTGGTGGCCTGGAGCTGTGGCCCTGGGAGCCCAGGTGACATCTCTGTTCTGCCTCTGCAGTACCAGGTGGACCCCGCCCAGCTGGTGAGCCGGCAGCTGCAGGTCTCTGTGTGGCACGTGGGCATGCTCACCCGGAGGGTGTTTCTTGGGGAAGTGATCATTCCTCTGGCCACGTGGGACTTTGAAGACAGCACGATGCAGTCGTTCTGCTGGTATCCACTTGGGGCCAAGGTAATGTCTGGTTTGGGACTGAGCGACCCCACCCCCGCATCGTGGGAACTTCCCAAAGGCATCCAAGAAGAGAAACCTACCTGGGAAGCCTTGGACCCAAGAATATGGCGCGCTTGTTGGGCTGTGAGTTTAAATAGACACTTCCTTGGGGGAAAAGGCTCAATGTCGGGCTCGCCTGATGGGATTAGGCTGAGGGACTTTTAGTTTGTACCCGAATAGCCCAACCTGCAGTGTAGCCCCAAGACCAGCCTGGATCAGGGTGGGTGTTCAGCCCTCCTGTGATGGCCTTGTGGGTCCACGTGCTTCAGGATCACGCGGTCTCAGCTGTCTGACAGCTGCTGCTGGCTGAAGTCCACAACCTGCATCCAGTGAGGCTGCCCACAGGTGTGCCCCACACAGCTCAGTCACGCGGCTCTAATGCATTGTTTCTAAGCTCCCCGCCCCGGGACTCCCAAAACCATGACGGGGGAGAGTGACTGGACCAAATGCTGTGGGGCAGGCAGAGGCTGCCCTGACCAGTGGGATCTCCTGTCCCCGCTCTGGCAGTGCAGCTCACCTCAGGGTGGGGGTCGGATAGGCCAGGAGAGGAGCTGGCTGATTTGGGGTCTGCTCACAGGCTGTGCAGGTAAGAGGAGGGGCTGGGGAGAAAGGTTAGCATTTCTTAGGGTGAGAAAAAGTGGGCTCCATCATCTTCTACGAAATGACAGTAGGATGTGCCAAGTTGTCACCAGGACTGGCCCAGGTCCCATGTGCCCTTCCACCTCTTTTCCTCTCTGAAGCCAGGGAGGCTCTAATTCACAACGCCTCTGCTCGGAAATGTGTTTGGTTTCTGGACACTCCGGGTCAGACCGAGGGTCCTCAGCCTGGGAGCTGTCCAGCCCCACCTCTCCATTGTCTTCTCTCTGTGTGGTCTGTGCAGCCCCTGCGTCACCATCCCAGTGACCTGTGCCTTCTCTTCTCAGAGCCTCAGTCCATCCTGAGCCTTGGGAACAGGGAATATCCACTTGCAATGCTTTCTGCTACCCAAGGTCTGCCGGAGACTTGGCTTAAATCCCACCTCCTCCACTAAGGCTTTCCTGATTTGCCGGGGAGCTGGGGACAAAGAGGGGGCCAACTCATGCCGACTGGAGGGTGACTCCTGGGCCCAGGGCACAGAGCCTGGGACCCTGCTGTCTCCCGTGCCTGGGGCAGTCCCTGGCACAGAAGGGTAGCTTCAATCTTTACTGACCTGGATGGAGTCGATGGGGCCTTGATTTTATTTACTTTTTTAAACTCAGGTTGTGTGCAGATTTTCTTAGGACCACCCTGTGGGAATGTGCGAGGGCCTTTGAGCCCCTCTGCTTCCTCAGCCCATCTGCCTCGGGTGGGCTGTTTGCCTGGGTAGCTGAGCTGAGGGTGGTGAGGATGGGAGTAAAGAGTCACCACAAATGGAAGACGAGCCCTGCATGGGCATGTCCACTCCACCTCCAGGCTCTCCAAGGCCTGCAGAGGCTTTGCAAGGGTGCAGAGGTGGGAAGGGGATATTTATGGACAGAGGAACCCAGAAGGTTCTGGGGGCTGGGGGATCCTGCTGCTGAGTTCTGCCTCTTGCCCCCAGGCAGAGAAATACGAAGATGGTGTTCCTCCAAATTATGGAGAACTCGCAGTCCGGGCCAAGCTGGTCCTCCCTGGAGGGCCCAGAAAGCTCCAGGAGGCTCAAGAAGGTAGGTGGCCTCCAGCCTTGTGAATGTTCGTCTATCACTGTGTCAGCATCCCCAAAGCCCGGAGCCGCAGGAGGGCTGAGAGGTGGGACGATGTTTTAGAGCATTTCCTCTCTGCCGCCCACTGATCCCGCACGCTCTGCTAACTCTTACCAAGAACTCTGAAGCCCAGCCTGGGAGACGGGGTCTTTGGAGTGCATGGCTTGGAAGGGAACTGAATGACCCCAAATCAGGCCAGGCCTTTGATGCCCACTTTACAAGGCTCTTAGGACACCAACCCCGGGGCTTTCCTCCCAAGGGGCTGGCTCGGATGGTCCCCTGGTGAAAACAGTCCTGCAGTGGCGCCTCTTGAAGAATAACCCCCTGCATTATGGTTGGGAGTTCGGCTCTTTAGGAACCAAGAGTATGTCTCAAGGCGGCAGGGCCCGCAAGGCTCCGAGTGAGTAACTTCCTACTCCTGGGCCACGTGAGCAGCTGCTGCCCAGCAAGAGAATGGATCAAGGACAGGAGCTTACAGGAGATTTAACTATCTTAAATAACGCGGGGCATATGGAAAAGATGAGGGTGGGGAGTGAAGACAGGGAGAACGTGCAATTCCCTGGTGTAGTTTAGTGATTTCCTATAGACTGGAAGAGGAAATTCTGCCAAGCTCATAGGGCCACCAGCAGAGCGGCAGCCTCTGTGGTCATCACCAACTCCCTAGAGCAGAGGTCTTGGGGCCCTCACTTTCCCCAAAACCACTGGCTACAATTAGACTGAAACTTCTGCATCGTTCCTCTCCTTGGGTTCTTCTTCGCTCTTTCTGCAGCTTCTGTGTCCCTAGGATTTAGCCATCCTTCCTTGCTGTCATCATGTTGACCGTGCAGTAGAACAGCGTGTGAGGAGGGACAGCAGAGCCTTCCACGGTGGGCGCGCTCCTCTCCGTCTGCTCTCTTGGGGTCTGAGGGCCCTAACACATCCTTGCATTCATCTATCAGTTTTGGGGTGGTGGCATTGCATGCCAACGTGCAGTAGGATTGACAGTAAATGCCGGCTTTCCTTCCAGGGACAGGCGATCAGCCATCATCTAACGGTCAACTCTGTTTGGTAGTCCTGGGAGCCAAGAATTTACGTGTGCGCTCAGACGGTACCTTAAACTCATTTGTTAAGGGGTAGGTATTAGATTTAATCAAATATTACTTATCGATGATCTAATATACGTGTGGCATGGTCCCTGTGAGGGAACACCAAAAAGTATGTCATTTTAAACTTGTCTTATTTTAGCTGTCCTATGAAAATTCAGCATAAGGTGTGTCAAAGACTCTGATTTCCAAGAATTCATGGGATTTGGACATGCTGAGGCTAGATTTGGAACACGACAATTTAACCTGAAACCCCAATCTTATCAGTCCTTGTTTTATCAGTAAATCAGCATTCACTGACTGACACGGAGCATGGAAAAATTGGTGTATTTGGTAAATATTCCCTTAGCTTAACATCTCTGCTGGGATTCAGAGTAAGATGGGTGACTCTGCATTATTTCACTCTTATTCATTACAGGTGTGTTGGTATCTCCACAAGTAAAGCAAACGCCATTAATTATTATGTAGTGTTGCTAAATCCCCAGTCAGTGACATAATGGAAAAATGATGGCTTACTGTGTCAAGATAGGACTGAGTTCATGTCCCCACTCTGTCACGTATCTGCATGGCCTTGGGCAAGTTACTTGGCCCTTCTGAATTCATTCTCCCGAGGAGAACGGGGTTAAAAAGAGCTAACCCGTGTGTGCTGTCCCGGGCCCTGGGTAGCCCTGGATAGCAGGTCTAATGAGTAGTGCTGTCGCCTCGTGTAAGCACACCAAGGAGGGGGATGAAGACAAGGGGCCGTGTGGCCTCAGAATCCCAAATTACACTCAGTGCCTGGTGCAGAATTCAGCTGTAAATGCGGAACTTCCTAGTGAGAGGTCACACAGCTAATCTTGCGATTCCCATCTCGTTTCTTGCTTAGGATTTTTTTGTGTGTGTGAGGAAAATCAGCCCTGAGCTAACATCCACGCCAATCCTCCCTTTTTTTTTTTTGCTGAGGAAGACCAGCCCTGAGCTAACATCTATTGCCAATCCTTCTCTTTTTTCCCCCTTTTTCTCCCCAAAGCCCCAGTAGATAGTTGTATGTCATAGTTGCACATCCTTCTAGTTGCTGTATGTGGGACGCGGCCTCAGCATGGCCAGACAAGCAGTGCATCGGTGCGCGCCCGGGATCCGAACCCTGGCTGCCAGTAGCGGAGTGCGTGCACTTAACCGCTAAGCCACGGGGCCGGCCCCTTGCTTAGGATTTTTATTTTGTAATGGGTTTAGCTCTTTTCTTAGCACAGAGAGTCTTTGATGAGCAAGTACCAGTAGGGAAGGGGGCGTGTCGAGGGCGGTATTACAGGGTCTGTGTTGGTTTCCCTTCTGCAGCTGTCTCACGCTGCCAGACCAGCAGAAACTGAGACTCAAGTCCCCGGTCCTGAAGAAGCAAGCCTGTCCCCAGTGGAAACACTCCTTTGTTTTCAAGGATGTAACCCCCTCTCAGCTGAGGCAAGCCAGCCTCGAATTAACCGTTTGGGACCAGGCCGTCTTTGGTGTGAGCGACCGCTTGCTGGGAGGAGCCAGGCTCAGTTCCAGTAAGTCTGAGATTTTTATTGGGCCCCAGAAGCAAAGTTTACCCTTAGTGACTGTCTTGCATGGACACCATTAAAAGAAAAATCATGCTTCCATCTGGGCAGGTGATTTAACCGGCTCTGAACTTGCCTAGCCCGCCATAAATGGAGATTACTAAGTCTAGAGCAATAATACAGCAAAGTATTTCAACAATGTAAATCAGATTTAGATCTGCTAAAGAAACAAAAATTGCAGGCCTCCAAATGGGCTGGGTACAGTATCTGCTTTTGTTTCTGGTATCAATCATAAAGGAATTATTTTCTTAAAGGAAAATACCTTCTTAACCCAAAGAAATGGCAATTCAGCAGGTATTTCATTAAGAGAGGGACAAAAGGGTGATGCTTTCAGTGTTGCTCAACAGGGATGTTCCTGGCATTCTGTAGGGGACAGTCCTTTTTCAGAGAGGGCTTGCACGCCCTGGCCCCCCCCGCTGGTTGCCAGCAATGCCACGCACTGTGACAACCCAAACACCTACATACGTTTCCAAGGCCTCCGAGCGAGGACCAGTGAGTATAAACAAGACTCACTATTAAATGACAATTTGTTTTAAAAGGAACATTGTCCAAAGCACACCCCTTTCCTCTAAGGATCTCCTTTCCATGAACAAACCTGGCCCCTGGTCTGAGATGCCCCCACCTGTCCATAGCCATGGTGATGTATTAAGACAGTCGACTCCCCTTCTCAAAAAATCAATGCACCAAACCTGTCCCCTCCTACAGGAAAGAAAACAGCTTCAGAGTTTTGAGGCCTCACAGGACCCGAGAGGAATTCCCGAGCACCTCTCGTTCTGAACACCAGTTCTGTTGGGGGTGGGGGGGTCTCTCTCTTACTCGCCAGTGGTTGACATTTTAATATGATCTATGTTGAGATGAAAAATTACTTTATACTTTTCTTGCTGGTCCTTATTTTTAAAAAGCTGAGAAGGGGGATGGGAAAGTGGGCCCACCATTCCTAATTTGTCACTTCACTCACGTCACAGAGGAAGATCCAGCTGGCGGCACCGACTCATGCTCGCAATCAAAGCTTCAATGGCAGAAAGTTCTTTCCAGCCCCAATTTATGGACAGACATGACTCTCATCCTGCACTGAAGCGAAGGTTCGTTTGCAGCAGGTGTTTCAAGGGTCACGTGCCTAAAGGTCGCTGAAGAACAGACTGTGGATACACAGCTGGAAGAGGCCCTCTGGAGTGTTCACCTCCATCTACAGCTCTGTCGTGTACCTAAAATCTTCCATATCCCTCTGTGTATATTTAAGTTAAACAGAGCAATTAATTTTATAAGTCTCAGGTTGGTTATCTGTGATTTGAGAGATGTGGAAAACGGCCCAATTTCAATAAATGTTCAAGTTACCTCTGTGGCCCAGTGCTTATCAAATAGTGCAAATTACATTGCACATTATGTGCATTTCTAAGAGAAAAAAGGAGCCTGGTGAGTATTCGATCCCTCCCATTCTACTGCGGAAAGGTGTTTCTGGAGGCAGGTCAGCCAAGCCCATGGAGCTGTGCAGGGACTCCCACTGCGGGTTGTGAGCGGTAAGGTCCCGCTGAGGGACGCCTGGCCCCACAAAGCACTGCCGACAGGTCTGCATGGACAGTCGAGCAGAGACGGGCCCTCCCTTCCCCCCTCACACATGAGTCGACATCCAGTGGGGCATCTTGCCTTGCACGTCTTTTATTTCAGAAGTCTGCAGTGCGGGGTTCCTCGGCACAGGACGTCCCAACCGAAGGGAAAAGGACAAAGCAGAGCATGAGAAGGAAGGCTATGAGTGAGCAGGACGGGCAGTGTGTGACAGCTGACGTTTTAAGGGCTTTTCAAGGATGTGGTAGAGAATGGAAATAGTTTGGAACAGGTTCTTCTTGTGGAAACAAGAGACCATAACCAGGTCAGGTCACAAGAGTCCCTTTATGGCTGCAGTCTGAATTATCAAGATAGCTTGTGTATTTTTCAAACAAGAGCTCTGATAGAAAACTGGAACGTGCATAGTCAATTACAGGCACAAAGAACACGGAAAGTACAAAAAGGCATTTTTACAGAGGTGATTATAGCAGTTAATCAGCTTCGTTACTGCCCTCACGTCACATCGGATCAAGTCCCATGGTTACATGGTTTTTTACATGTAATTCTTTTATTATTCTGTAAAAGGTAACAAAATATACAGAATGAAACTTTCCCTTTTTTAAACTAAAGTTACAAACCCATATTATCACTTATATATAAATAGTATGCTCTAGAGCTGATGATTCATTAGGTGGTTAAGTCCGACAATGTAGCCCTCTAACTGTTAGGCAAAAAAAAAAACCAACCAAACAAGAAAAGTTTATCGGAGAGTGGAGCATCCTCCTGGATCCTTTATCCTGGATGATGCCAGGACTCTGTCAACTGCACTGAAGGAGGAAAGAAAGCATTGTGTGTGCACGTGTGTCTAAGAGTGCGCTAGACTCAGTTTTCAAAGTAATTTTCACCCCTCAAAATACATAAATATACAAAGATGAATCCTTCATAGAAATCAAGAACAAATCAATCAATTGGAGCTAATTTCAAATACAGGAAAAAGTATGGCACAGAATATAAGCCACAATGTGGTTTTAATTATGCTGAATCTTGTTTCATACATGCCAGCATGGAGTATGTTATTCAGACTTTACAGGCATCTTTCCTTAATCCAATTGGTCCTGCTCCAAGCAGAAAACAGGAAGTGATTCAATAATAATAATATTAATAAAAGTCAGGCCTGTTTGGCACTCGGATACAACTGGGAAAAATAACCCAGGGAAGCTTCCACTGGTCCCAGCCCCAGATTGTTCCCATGAAATAACTACTCTCTCTTTAAAGGAACTGGAATATGATGAGGGGTCTAGACTTAGAGAACTACGAAGACAGGTGTTAGAGCCCGACAGTGACCCTCCGCAGAGCCCAGTGTGAGGCCCTGCTGCCCACAGTCCAGGCTGGGCTTCACAGGGCCTCGAACTCATCGATCCTCTGCTTGGTGTTGCCCTGCCGGATCTGCCGCAGTGTCTTGTACTTGTCTCGGCCCTGCCTCATGTTCTCGTTGTGGATGATGTCGTTGTGGGTCCTCTTGTTCTCGTCTCTGGCCTGGGACAGCTCACTGGTCAGAGTCTGCAACATAAGAAGCACTGGTCAGGCACGACCCCTTCTGCACGTGTCACAGTGACCCCTCCCCTCCCTAGGAAAAGTGGGTGCTAGGTGGGACGGCTCGTTCTGTGGCTCTGCCTAAGGCCCGCCTCCTCCAGCTAGATGCCAAGGAAGCCCCTGGGGACCTAAGGAGTGGGCGCCCTGCCGCCCGTTGGCCCCAGTGCACTCACCAGCAGCTGCCGCTGCACGCGCTCATTCTTCTCGGCCTCGGTGATGCGCCTTTCCTCATTGCGGTGGTCCAGGATGCCCTCGCTGGACAGCTCGGCGCTGTAGCCCGAGTCCTCTGTGCCCTCCTCCTGCGGGTTCTCCTGGACGTGGTAGCTCACCGGCTCATACACGGGGGGCGGCGGGGGCGGGGGGGCGGTCATCACCAGGTGCAGCTCCTCCTTGGTCTTCACCAGGTCATCTTGGGCCTCTCTGGCCTTTGAAAGCAAGTCAACAGACAGGTGAGAACTTAAACGCAGAGCCTTGTGTTTGGGCCATTTTCCGCAGAATTACCTTTTCTCCCAGGAGGCCCATTCTCCCTGCTAAGAGAACAAGGATTCCACACCCTCTCTCCCCCTTGCTCTCTCCTGGCGGCTGATGCACGTGCCCTGAAGCAGCAGGGACCGAGGATGTGGACTATGGCTCATCAGAAGGGTCTGGGCTCCAGACCCTCTGAGCAGTTATCAATTGTGTCCACAGCACGAAGAGAGAAACTGATGCCAGGGGCTTGATACTTCCCAGTACCATAACCTCTTTTTTTCTGCCTATAATCCTACTATATGCGCATACATTTTTGAAAAAAAGAATTATTAAAGAAAGAGAAATCCTCCGTCCACTGGCCAGCGCCACAATAACACATTGGTGTGCAGTTTATTCTCCTTCCTTGTGCGGCTGCTGCTCCTCAAGCTCCTCACCGCCTGCCGGCTCCATGCTCAGCACTTTCTTACCCATCACTCCTAATCCTTCCAGCAACTTCTCACGAGCACACACACTCAGTCCTGCCCACCTCATCACCACCCCGACCCTGGAGATGAGCTTTGTACCTGTTCTGTAACCAGCTTTGCTCACTTAACACCTTATAATGAGTACTTTCACCAAAATCTTAAGCACCGAAGTCTTCTGCACACAGCTTGGGTTGGGGCTGGGGACAGGGGTGAAGACAGTGAGGGGAGGCACCAGAAGGGGCCACCGCAGATGGGGAAGTGTGAAAAAGGACAGGCGAGGGGTAGGGAGGGGGGAGGAGCCCCCCCCAGTCTGGCTGAGGCCTATACTCTGAACCACACCACACCCAAAGCTCCCAGGGACCACGCTTTGCTGGTGGGCGTGAAGGCCCATCATGGAGGGATGCACTCTCCAGATGCTGCAGCTGAACATGGCTCTCACTGTTACAATTTATTAAACCTCTCTGAGCAACCTGACAAGTTGGCTACCACTCCCAATCTGCAACAAGGAAACCGGGGCTCAGAGAGGCGAGGCTGCTTGCCCTGGTCACACAGCGAATAAGTGGCAGAGCCTGGACTCTCGTTCTGGTCTGGAAACCTCCAAGGTCTGGATCTTTCCATGGTGCCATGCTGCATATACCAACAGTCAGGAGGGGCAGGAGGGCTTGTTTCAGGCACTGCGGCCCATTGCTGGGGGCACCAACATAATCCTATTTAAAGCTGGTTCCTGATGGGGGCTGCATGATGGGGCTGAACGGACTGGGGTGGCCAGAGCAGAGTGGGTGGGAATGAACAAGGGGCTCTTTGTTCCCTAATCCGACAACATGCTTGCTGGGGCACAAAGGCGAGCCCATTCCCATGGGGATTTCTGCTTAAGTACAGCTGGTGTCGGCAGGGATTACAAAAAGTCCCCGAGGCTCTTGATGCGACATGCAAGCCTGGCCCAGGCCAGCCCGTGCCCACCACGGAAGGGCCCACGGCAGGCGGGCTGCGGAGGCGAGGCCTCAGCCGCAGACTCACCCTGTGCTGCCACTCCTCCACCTCGGTCTCCTTGCGCCTCCTAGCCTCTTCCAAGAGGGCGATCTTGGCGGTGTACTCGGCGAGTTCCGCAGCCTGGGAAAGGAGCGCAAAGACGAAATTATTCCTGGGATCCTTTCAACCGAGTCCATTTGTGAGTGAACGGTCACACATTTGGGTGAACAGCTTCCCTTATAACACGGCCCAGTCCCTCCCTCCTCTCTGGCCTGCAGGGTCCATCGCCGCCTGCCGTGCCTGGGAGAACACGCCTCGCCGAGACTGCCACGTCCCCCTCCCTGACCCAACAACAAACAGCACAGCCCCCTCCCCACCAGCCACTTGACACCATCAGGCGGGTCATTTTACAGCCCCAGATACAAATTATTACGAGGCGGGTGTCACGTTTTCAATCCCCGGAGGCAGCCGCTCCATAATTCAGCATCGTGAAACTCGGGGACTCCTACCAGCTGCTCCTGGCTCTTTATCTGATCCACCGCCTGCCTCTCCAGCTCCTCCTTGGCGCGCAGCGCGGCCATGCGGTCAGCCTCCAGGCGCTCGGCCTCCTCCTGCGCCCGCTTCCTCTCCTCCTCCAGCTGCAGGGCCCTCTGAATCTGGTCCGAGAGCTCTGAAGGGAGCACAGGACCACGGCTGCTCAAAGGCTTGGGGACCGGGAGTCCTGCCCTAAACCCCCAGCCCGGTGGGATCAGATGGGTCATGGACGGGAATCCCACCCAAAGCTGCAAAGCATTGGACCCCGTTACAGGCTGACGGGCCTCTTCTTCCAGTGACACCAAAAGGAAAGTGCTCTACCAAGTGTCCCTGTTGTGTTTACAGGACAACATCCTCATGATGGTTAGAACCCTGTACCGAGATGTGCAACAGCTGGCCAGGGCCTGGCTCCCACATCCCTGTGTACTGCTCTCCTGGGAGCCTCAAAAAGTGCACTGCTAACCCCCACTTCTAGTTCATAGGTCGGGGGGACTCACTAGGTGGGGGCAACGCAGCACGCCCTGGGCACTCACTAGCGGTGTGATCTCAGGCAAATTATTCCTCCTGCTCA